ACACACACACACACACACTCACTCTTCCTGTCCGCTCAGTACATATGCCCCTATGCACCCTTTTCAATGCCACATATATATTGTATGTGTGTACGTATGTATGCCCGTCTGTATATACGTATGCGTACGCAGTGGATATGCACCTTTTCATTGTCACATAATAAGCTCTCTCTCTCTCTCTCTCTCTCTCTCTCTCTCTCTCTCTCTCTCTCTCTCTCTCTCTCTCTCTCTCTGTGTCTCGGTGCTTTGGCCCGTTTGGCGGATCCAAGGAAGGATTGGAAGGATGTGGTCATTACTCACTAATGGAACCAGGTTTGAAAACCGGCGTTGATAATTAGGTAGCGCGCCGGACCTCTAGGCATGCCGGAAGCGCAGTAGGAAGACTAGAAATAGCAAGACTTGGGGTTCATAATAGGTTGGGGTTGATAATAGGTAGCGCACCGGACCACTAGGCTTGCCGGAAGCGCCTAGGAGTACTAGAACTAGGAAGACTACGGGTCAGATCCCACTACCCTGGATTATTCATTTTTGACCCTCGATTACGAAGATCGACGGTCAGAAACGAACAATAGGGGCTAGTGGGATCTGGCCCTAAGGCTAGGACTGGCAACTGGAGGATCGAGGCAAGGAACACACATGAGAGAATGGTGAGTTTTGGGGGGACCCTTTTCGTGCCATAAATTTTTCGTCCGATCCGCGCCGTTTTAGTCCGATTCGGTCTGTTACTGTACACTAGTTTTTTTTTTTTTTTTTTTTTTTTTTCAAGAACACTGGCAGCCAGATGTCGTATGATCCAGGCACTTCCTACTTTTTGTGATAAAGTATTCTCGGTATCGGCTATAGCATTTTACTCCGGGTTACTGCGGTACTTGAGTTTTTCTAGTTTTTCTATTTTCTATTTTTCTATTTTTCTCTTTTTCTCTTTTTCTCTTTTTCTCTTTTTCTATTTTCTATTCTCTACTTTCTATTTTCTATTTTCTATTTTCTATGCTCTGGCTCGCGATCGGTTCCCGACATCCGCACCTCGGGTTTGGTGCGATGGCGGGACCCACACTCTTATCTTGGCTCCGTCACTTCGAAACACCGGGTGGAACCCAGTTAATTAAGGAAAGTAAGACGGAGGAGGTGACTAGGAGTGAAGTGAGACAGAGGAATTAATGATGACCTACAGACTATAGTGTGGAGAACGACTACTCCTGGACGCGGTATGATATCTACGATGTATAGAACACGGTAGGTGAACTATAGGTGGGCTGTACGGGTAAGAAGGGGGGGGAGATCGGGGAAAGGGGATAGAGGGTGGCAAGGTATGGACACACAGCTCTGACGCGAGTACTTATACGAGGGAGCAAGGCTTTGAGCTCCCTCGTTCGGCACATGAACTCGTTGCAGTTCAGCCTCCTGACGATCCTGCGGTGGGCAGGTGAAACCGGTAGAGGGATCCACCAGTGCTAGCTATGGAAGTGACTTGGATTATGGAACTTGTTGGATTATGGAACTTGTTGATACCGCACTAGTTTTTTTTGGAACTTGTTGGATTATGGAACTTGAGGGATGAATACGATGTTTTTGCATTCGTAGATCTCGGGTTCTGTGCGGTGTCTAGCTTCTGATATCCGTTGTCCTGATTGGGCTGTGTGGCCGCAGTCTCTCTCTCTCTCTCTCTCTCTCTCTCTCTCTCTCTCTCTCTCTCTCTCTCTCTCTCT